CCCGCCGCCGTGAGGGTGGGGCAGCAGGGGGAGAGGGCTCGCTCGAGGGAGGGGTTCGCTGACTCAGCTGGGAGGGCACAGAGCGCAGGCTGGCGGCAGGCACAAGCCAGGACCTGCCCGCTGTGTGTCCTCTTCCCATCTCAGCCCTGCCTGGTGCCCTGGGAGGGAGGGGACCAAAGGGGTGGGAGGAGAGGAGAGACCGCCCAGCGGGCTCAGGCCACGGCTTTGCCCACGGCCAGTCACAGGCTCCCTGCCACGTCCACACGCCCCTCAGGGCTGGGCAAATATTTTCCTTCCTGAGTCACCATGGTACCTTAGCTGCTTTGCAGCACTCGGCCTCCACCACCAGGTCCCACCCCAGCCAGGTCCTGGGTCAGGGCGTGGGGAACCCATGTGGCCAGAGTAAAGGGGTCCAGGGAGGGGCTCCAGGCCAGGGGGCAGGGCTGGCATCAGGGGCAACCTTGGGCTGGAGGCCTCCGTGGGAGTGGGTGCAGCAGTTACCTCCAGGGGAGGAAGTTAGGCTGTGAGCTGGGGAGGAGGCTGCCCCAGACAGGAAGGCCCAATAGGCCACAGCAGGGTGGAGGGAAAGGACCCAAGTTGGGAGATTCCCGGGGCAGGGTGGTGAGCAGATATGTGTGTGCACTTGTGCGTCTGGCTGCGTGTTCGTGTGTGTGCATTTCCCATGTGTGTGCAGGTGCACGTATTTCTGCATTTAACTAGTCAAACTTTTACTAACCATCTGCCGTGTGCACAGTTCTGGCTTTAAGGATGAGGCCCTGTCCCTGACTTCAAGGAGCTCACAATCTAGTTTGGGGGATGCAGTATGTGTGTGCAAAAGTGTGTGTGATTTGTATATATCTAAGGACAGGTCTTTGTCCCTGGACTTATTCTTGTATAGGTGAACCCATCTGTGGGTCCTTGTCTCCCCTGTGTGCATGCGCCTGTGTGCAGGTTTAAGGATATGTTACATACATCTCTTGGTCTGGACATGGATCTGGGCCTATGACTGCGTAGGGCCCTTTCTGGGGGACCGGGTATGCATGAGCCTGTCTTTATATAGGTGTCAGTGTGCACGTGTGACCCGGTGTGCATCTCACTGTGGGGAACTATATCTACATGTATCAGTGTGCGCATGTGCGTCTCTACATGTCTTTGAGTGTGTCCCTGAGTATGTTCATGGGTGTCGGTGTGCATGTGTCGACGAGTGCATCTCATGCCACCTTGATCTCAGCCTCCCTGGGCTTGTACCCCGCTCACCATGGGGGGGGGGTGTATATTTGGGCAGAAAAGGCAATTGGCTCCAGAATGTGCCCTGTATATGGGCAGGCCTTTACCTGACCCTTGCTCTGCCCCCAGGGAGCCATGTGTGCCCAGCCTGGGCGCTGCCCCAGCTGATGCCCCAGAGGGGCCACCCATCTCAAAAGGGGCTCTGGTCCCTGCCTGGCCTCCTCATGGCACATGAGCCACAGCCTGAGGCTGATGGGCTATTGGATCTCAGCTTCCTGACAGAGGAGGAGCAAGAGACTATTGCCAAGGTCCTGAAGCGAGATGCCCACCTGCGCCAGCTGGAGGAGGGACGGGTCAGGTAAGGCAGAGTAAGGGAGCCCCAGAGGAAGGGGCCTCAGGCACTGGGGGGCTTGGGTGACTCCCACCCTCTCCCCTACCAATGTGCAGCCTGTCAGATATCTGGGCAGGTCTTGTTTTTGCCCACTGGTCCACTCCACGCTTGGCCAGCTCAGTTCATCACCTCTCCCAGGGGGGCTGCACCAGCTCCCTTGCCAGCCTCCCTGCCTCCGGGCTCAACCTTTCTGGCCCACCCTCCATGCTGCAGCTGGGACTCTCCAGATCTGTCTTTAATATCCTCTCCTGAAACCTCACATGGTTCCTCAGCATCTCCTGTCAGAGGCAAGCTCCGAAGCGTGGTCCACAGGCCTCCCTGGTTGGACCCTGCCAGCCTCTTCCATCAGTAAGCCTCATCCCCTGACACACACATACAAAATGTCCACTACAGCCACTCGGGTGCTCCACAGTCCCCGAACACACCCTTCGCTTTTATGATGTTTCTTCTGCCTGGAAGAGCACAATGGCAGAGCAGCATGGGACTTACAAGTAGTGTTTGGGGACAGACAGACACCTCCTAGCTTGTAACCTTGGACCTCCCCAGTACCACTCTCCTCATCTGTAAAATGGAGCTAACGAGCCCTACCTCACAGAATTAGGAAGGATTATACACAGTCATTTAATGAATAATAATTATTTTTCTTCTCTACCTGGAGAACTCCAATTTGTCATTTAAGAGCAATTCACATGTCACCTCCTCTGGGAAGCCCTCCAGTATTCTCACAGGCAAAGCTGGCCCTCTTACATACATCATGGCTCTACCTCACTATAGTGTACTTGTCTATTCTGGACTCAGTCTCCCCACCAACCTGAGCTTCTCCAAAGCAGGGATCAAGTCTGATTTGCTGTTGTATCCCTGGCCCCAGGTACAGGGCCTGGCACAGAGTGGGTGGCAATAATGTTGATTGCATGAGTGGTGACAGCCACACCCTCCCCCATCCTCCAGCAAGCTCCGGACATCGCTGGCAGACCCTGGGCAGCTGAAGATCCTTACAGGGGACTGGTTCCAGGAAGCACGCTTCCAGCGGCACCACCACACCCACCTTGGCTCTGACCTTGTTCGTGCCTCCATCCGCAGGAAGAAGGGCTCCAGGGGTGAGAGGAGCTCCCCAGAGTGGGGCACGCCTTGGGCAGCCCAGGTCACCGGGTGTATGTGGACGAGGACAGAGGGCCCCTGGTTTCAGTTCCAGCTGCCCCTGGCACTGTGTGACTTTGGGTGGGCACCACCCCTCCATGGGCTACAGGAGGTGGGTGGGCATCTCCAAGGGCCAGACATCCTGAGAAGAGAGTTTCACAGAACTTCTCACCTGGGTGCAGGGGACCAGGCTCAGGGCAGCGATGGGGAGGCTGAAGCTGCTGGGAAAGAGACCGAAGAGGCGCTGGAGCTCAGGTGAGGAGGCAGGGCAGGGAGTGGAGGGTGCCTCCCAGTCACCTGGGGCCCATCTCTGACTATACCTCTCCCTCCTCGCAGGCTCCCCATGGACGAGGCCCCCCAAGAGAGGTTCAGCGAGGCTGAGGTGAGTAATGAATGACTGAATGGGCTAATGAATGAATGTACAGTGTCCCTGGCATGGAGGTGGGATGTGCTGGGGAAAGAGCCCAGCCTGAGAATCAGGAGACCCTGGCCTGGGCCTCTGTCACCCTCCTCTGTCAAATGGAGGTGTGGGCCCATCCTCTAAGGGAAACTCTGAATTGGTTACTAGGGGTGGAGTGTGGACTGAGCTGGGTGAGGTCCAGGACTCAGATGCCACCAAGGGGACCCTGGGAGTTAGGTAGGGCAGGCCCTGAGGTGTGAAGGGGTGTGAAGTGCAGGCCAGACTGGTCCTGCAGCTGGTTGCCAGCTCTGCCCTGAGGGCACAGCAAAATCTGAAGCTGCAACCTCTGACCCCTTCACCACTGGCCCCCTCTGTGACTTCTACCCCTTGCTTCTTTCAGGGACCTGATTTCCCCTCACCATATGTCCCCCCAAAGGCTTCAGATCATGAGGAGGAGCCCCAGGCCCAAGAAGGTGAGTGGGAAGGTGTGTGTTGGGAGCACAGAGAGGTTGCGGGGATCAGAGGCAGCTCTGAGTGACCCCAGCCACCTGTGTTCACCTTCCTCGTCCCGCTCAGGGAGCAGGTAGGTGTGGTCTCCACCGGCGACCGCAAGGCAGCGCTGGGGTCTGAATGGGGGTTGGAAACCAGTCCCTCCAAATTTGCTCAGGGGCAGGGCGGGCAGGGGAGGGGCTCGCTGAGCTGTTTGTGCCCCTCCCAGCCCCTGGCCCCGGGGGCGTTCAGGCCTTCGCCGCCGAGGAGGCTGACCCTGAGCTGGAGCCTCCGTCGAGGGGAGAGGAGGAGCCGCAGCCCCCGCCTGCCCAGGTAGGCGGGAGCGGCCCGCGGCTGCTCTCAAGACCCGGAGCGGATTCCAGGCGGGGAGTGCAGCTGCGCGAGTCTGCGAGCGGTCGCGGGTAGGGGCGGGGGGTTAGGTGGCGCCCCCGTCACTTACCGCCTCTTCAGACCCAGGAGGTGTCCGAGATCCTGGAGAATGGGGAGGAGGCCCCGGGGCCCGACCTGTCACTCGACCGCGTGCTCAGCAGCAGCTCCTCCACGGTGAGGGGGTGAGGGAGAAGGCCTGCGGTGGGGGTGGGGTGCGCCTCCCCTCCCCGTATCCCGAGGCGTTGCCCCTGCATGACCCCTCCCTTGACCCCCGGACCTGACACTCCAGCCTCCAGGCAAGCTACCTCACTTTACCCCCCTCCCCTCCCATCTGAACCTTCCGCGCTCCCCTTCCCCGGCCCCGACGTGAGCCCCGCAGCCCGCCATGACCTCCCCACCCTCCGCCCGCAGCTGAGCAGCAGCCAAATGAGCCTGTCCGGGGAGGCGGAGGCGGGCGCGGTGCAGGTGCGCGGCTCCCTGTACTTCGCGCTGCGCTACGAGCCTGGTGCCGCCCAGCTGCGCGTGCACGTGATCCAGTGCCAGGGCCTGGCCGCCGCCCGGCGCCGCCGCTCCGACCCGTGAGTGTCTGACCCCGCGAGGGGGGGCGCTAGGGAGCCGCTCTCACTGCCCAACCCCACCGCTTTTCTTGGCCTCAGTTTCCTCATCTTCAAAATGGGAATAACGTTCTTGGTAGACGCGGGAGCTGGGTGAGATAACTCCTGTAAAGCGCTGCACGAGGCCTGGCACGCGAAGCTGCGTTCCCGGCTGTGGCTGGGGAGTAGGCGCTGGAAGGGGCTGGAGGGGTAAAGGGGTCCCCCTTCACCTCCGGTCCTCACCTGCCCCGCTCCAGCTACGTCAAAAGCAAACTCCTCCCAGATAAGCAAAGCAAGCGCAAGACCTCAGTGAAGAAACGGAATCTGAACCCGGTCTTCAATGAGACTCTCTGGGTGAGGCTGCGACGCCAGGGCGGCCCCCCATTAAGGAACCGAACGCCCCTTCCTGCAGGGACCGGGTGGTGGGGGCAGCCATGGTGTCGTCATTGCCGATCGTTCCAGTCCTCCATTCTGGGGGAGGAACGGCAGGGAGGCCCTCGCATTAACGGGCTCTCCAACATGTCAGTCTAGAGGTGGGTGCGGCGCTAGTCCAGACCCCCATTAATACCGTCCGGAGTTCCCCAGGATTCCTTCCAGCAAGGACCGTGGTAGGATAAGCCCTAGCCAACACTCCCGCAACACTGAGGCCGGGGCCATCGACGCTGCTTCATTAAAGTACGCCTCCTGTCCCCAGTACTCCGTCCCGCAGGCCGAGCTCAGGGGCCGCGTACTGAGCCTGTCCGTGTGGCACCGCGAAAACCTGGGTCGCAACATCTTTCTGGGCGAAGTCGAAGTGCCCCTGGACACGTGGGACTGGGACTCCGAGCCCACCTGGCTCCCCCTGCAGCCCCGGGTGAGCAGCTGGCCCGCGCGGGTAGACCCGCGGCGCAGATCTCCCGCCTTTACCGCACTGGGCTTTCCCCCAGTCCCCGTCAGCCTCGAAACCTTACGGCCCCATGCAGGGGTCTATCCCTGACTGCCGGTGGCGGGGCTCTCGGATTCCCCAGGCCGTTCTCTCGCCAGCCCCCTCCAAGACCCCGCCCCGTCGGTGTCTGGAGACTCCGCTCCCTTCCGGCCCCTTTTCCCTAGGACTTTGTCCCCACCCGCTGACGAGCCCGCCTCTCGCAGGTCCCGCCCTCTCCCGAAGACCTTCCCAGCCGCGGACTGCTCTCTCTGTCCCTCAAGTACGTGCCCGCTGGCTCTGAGGGTGAGTGAGCGCCAGCGAGAGGCCAAGCTGGACAGGCCTTAAGAGGCGGGGAATCTCTGTCCCGCAAGGGTGAGGGGCAAGTGTCTGTTCTTGGGGCAGGGCCTGAGCCGAGCCTCTTCGCAGGTGCAGGACTGCCCCCAAGTGGGGAGCTGCACTTCTGGGTGAAGGAAGCTCAGGACCTCGTGCCTCTGCGCCCAAGATCCCTGGATACCTACATACAATGGTGAGGGGCATCGGTACTTCCCCGCCTCCCTTCCCTTCTCATGCAGTGGAGCTCCCCACCTTCAACAAACCCCTTCTGATCACCCACCCTTGATTCCCCACTCTGGGCTTTGACCGCTGAGCAGAGGTGGAGGGGACAGCTTGAGCAAAGGCCTGGAGTCAGGAGAGTTGAGGACTCCTCTGAGCAGCTGCATTTCAGTGACTGGAGCATAGGACTTGTTGGAGAGCTGAGGCTGAGACCTGGGAGGTCTCAGGGGTCTGTCCATGGAGGACCTGGAAAGCCAGGCTGTGGGGTTTGGTCCTGAACTTGCAGTTCAGTGGTTTTGAAAGTAAGCACTGGAGGAATTCTAGGGGTGCCTCCAGGTGCTTTCCCACCCTCAGAGAGTAAAACAGATGTAGGCCAATGAGGTTCTGAGTTCCCAGCCTTGATTCAACAAAAGACATTGTTTTTCTTTTAGGTTTTGTACTTCTGAGTAATATTTTTGTCTTGCAGGAAGGGCTCCAAGGCTTTAAAAAGTTTGGAAACTACTCCTGGGGGGCTGTGAAGGTGCCTGAGCTGAGGAGTAGCAGAACTGCATTTCAGAGACATTACTCTGGGGTCCTGTGAATAGGTGTTGTAACTTTTAAAGGCAGGAGATCTGAGAGGAGGTTGGCGCAAAGGTCCCAGGATACTGAGGGTAGGAGGCCGGTTCTCAGGCAAGAGCCAGAGGACATGGACATTGTGAGGAAGTATGGGTAGGACTCGGTGACTGGTTGGTTCTGGGGAGTGTGAGGGCGTGGCCACTTGACACCAGCCCACCTCCCCACAGTTTGGTGCTGCCTGATGACAGCCAGGCCAGCCGCCAACGGACAAGGGTGGTGCGACGCAGCCTCAGCCCCACGTTCAATCACACCATGGTTTATGATGGCTTCGGTCCTGCTGACCTGCACCAGGCCTGTGCTGAGCTCTCTCTCTGGGACCATGGGCCCCTGGCCAGTCGCCAGCTGGGGGGCACACGCCTCAGTCTGGGCACCGGTGAGTGGGGCAGAGCCCTGAGGGGACCCAATGCTAGGAGGCAGGGGCTTGATACGTGGCCCTGGGCCCTTCTCTGTCCTTTCCTGAGCTTTGGTGTCCACAGAGAATGTGAGGGTGATAGCGCATGATCTGGGACCAGGCAGGTGTTCCTTGGGACCTGGGGTGTCCAGTGTGACCGTGTCTTCCACCCCTGCCCGCCCACATCTAGGCAGCAGCTATGGGCTCCAGGTGCCCTGGATGGACTCCACACCTGAGGAGAGGCAGATGTGGCAGACCCTCCTGGAGCGGCCATGTGAGTGGGTGCATGGCCTTCTGCCCCTCAGAACGAACCTGGCCCCCAGGACATAGCTGCCCTACAAGCCCTACAAAACCCCTCTTTCTGGACCCCCATCTCAGGGCCTGCCCTTGGCTAAAGTCAATAAAGTCTATTCTGAGGGCAACAACGGGCTGATGTCGGCTTGGGGGTGGGAGTGTGGGGAGGGCAGTGACAGCAGGGAAGTGAAGAGCGCCAGATGAAGGGACTTTAGACTCAGACATGAAGACCTTAGGGAGCTGGTCCTAGGACTCCTCCCCATACTTCTGACATCACCAAGGCCCAAGGGTACAAAAGTATTGTTTAATAGTCTTTGCCCGCCGGCACTCCGTGAGCTTGAGGCACCTCTCTCGTTGGTTCCCCCCACTGGGGCTAGGCTTGGGCCCTACCCTGCCCCCCACCCACCTGGCCTCCTCCAGGTGCCCCTGGGTCCTGGGGCAGGTGTGTCAGAAGCCTCTTGTGTTTCCTGCATTCATCCATCCTTGGGTCTGGCCTCCCATCTCTGATGTCCTCATTCAGCCTCCTGCGGGCCAGGGGTAACTGGCGTGGACCTTGCTCGCCGTGCCAAGATGGCTCTCCAGATGCGGCATATCATCCCTCCCCTGGGGGCACCAGGCTCAGTGAGGCTCAGGCAGAAGAAGGCCCTGGGCTCTCTGGTACCCACTGTCTGCCTGATGCCCCCTCTGTCCCCAAGGGACCCTAGGGTCCCTATAGTTTTCAGAGAGGAACCCAGGCAGGCCTGTAACTAGCGGGGTGGTGTCAGGATCTGGCCAGCATGAGGCCATATGTGTGGGTTATCCCTCAAGGGCCCAGGACATACCTGATGCGTGTGTAGATGAGGTCATCTCTAGTGGCACAGGTCAGTAAGGCATGGAGGGTGAAGCTGTGGTTCAGTAGCTAGTTGTGGACAAAGAAAGACACATACACAAAAACAGGGAAAGGTAAAATCAGAGAAAGATGGGTCCAGAGACCCAGGAACTAGCTCTGTTCTACTACCAACATGCTAGGACAGATCACACTCCTTTCTGGGCCTCAGTTTTCTCATCTGTCCAATGGGAGGCATATACAAAGGGCTAATTCAGTATTGAGATCCTTTGCATCAGAGGGAGAAAGTGAGAAGAGCTGAAAGATGGGCATAGGTGGAGTCTTTGGTTGGTGAGGGTCAGGGACTGCCAATACTCGCCCCCTCACCGTCTGGATGGTGCCTGAATCCACATTCAGTTCCTGTAGCCACCGCACCAGGCCATGGTCCACTGTGAGAGCAGCTGTCAGGAAGAAAGCTGGTGAACCCAAGGATGCCTCTGCCAAGAAGCTGCCTCACACCCACCATTCGAGCTCCCCAGACTGCTCCCACTCACCTGGGGGCTCTGAGGCCAGGGCCCAGGTCCTGGCCTCCCCACTGACGCGCTGTAGGGTTAGCTGCACCAGGGCCTGGCACTCCCGTTCCTTCTCAGCCAGGACATCTCGTAGCCTGTTAGAAGGCAGAAGGCAATAGAATGGAGGGGGCGTAGGTAGGGGTGAAGCTCCTGCAGAGGCTATGGGCGAGTCCCAGAAGCTGTACCTATAGGTCTCTGCTCGCAAGAGGCCCAGCTGCACCATCGAAGGTGGGGTTCCCTGCTCGGGTTCCCCTGGGAGCAGGCTCCGCTGGACTGGGGTCTCCTGCTGCTTCCGCTGGGACTCCTCTTCATTGGACTCCTCCGACTTCGGTGGGACAGCCTCCTTCTCCGCCTCTGCCAATCCGAGTGGGGTGAACTCAGGCAGGGCGAGAATGCCCATTTAGGACCCCAGACATCGGCAGAGGATGCGGGGCTCTGGGCACAGGCTAGGCAGTGTCAGCCTGGGAGATAACCATTTGGTTATGCCACCCCCCTGCTTGGCGCCGGTCAAGCCAGGGCCTCGCTGACCACGCCCCTACCTGCCCTATTTGCGTTCGCCACGCCCCCAAGGATCACATCCTCGCCCCGCAGGCAGGCAGGCAGGCAGGCAGGCTCCAATCCCCCACCCACCTGGGGCCAGAACAGCCAGGGCTGCCAGCACAGCGCGGCTGAGCAGCGAGTCCAGCACAAACATCCAGTGTGGGCGGATCTGGCGCCTGCGGAGGATCTGCTTCACCTGGAGCAGGAGGAAGGGTGCGGCTGAGACTGCTGAGCTTCAAACAAAGATGGGGCCTGAGTTGGAAAGGCCTAGAAAGTCTTCTATCGGAGGCAAGTGGGGTGGGCGGGCTTGGGATCAAAGGAGGGGCTGGGAAGCTAGGACTGGGCAGATGTCCCTTTCCCGATGGTTCTATCGGAGAAGACATGGAATCTTGCAACATCAAGTCCTTGTACATTCCCAAGCGTGGGGAGCTTACTACCTCTTACTGGGCAGCCCTAACTGAGAAAGATCCCTCACCGCATCCGGGAAGGCGAAGAGCG